TGGCTTGACATTGTGCCTAAGAGAAGTTCTAATTACAAAGAGCAGTAGAGACATTGTAAAATAATAATAATACTTGCCAGGGTAGAGCAGGATGTGCTTGTGGATTGCTTCTCTAGAAAGAATGAATTGCTATAATGGCAACTGTCAGAGTGACATCCTTAAAGAGAAATATTCAGTCAAGGCTGTCTTTTAAAAATCAGGGATGCCACGGGAACTGTTGTGTGATGTGCAAAAGCTGCCTGTAAGCTCTTGCAAACGTGCTTAGGTCTATCAGTTTAGTAGCTAGCACTAAAAGTAATCCAGCAAAAGTATTCTTGTCTCCTAGAGAATGAAAATGCTAGCAAGAATAGCACATTATCAAGTAAAGATGAAATACATTTTATGTCCAATTAAGAATACAGTTGTTTTTTTTAAAAAAAATGTATTCCAAAACTTACTTTGTTCCTTAGTGATGTTCCTTGATTCTAGAATATGTATCTTCTGGTGGCATCACCATTATCAGATTTAGTAAAATCTGATAGGTGTCATATGACATGGGAGAACTTAACTTCAAGGTTAAAGAATGGAAAAACTCAGAACCAATTAGAATAGTTCTTGTGTATTTCTTGTTCTCATCTTACTCTTGTTTAGACTGCTTTACAGAAAGATTCAAGAGTGCTTTGGTCTACTGGGTGAGACACATATGCCACTAATCATATATAAGGCATATCTACCCACATCTATCACATTTTATCCTGCTCATTCTGAGATGCTCAAGACAACTTACATGGGTTAGTTGTGCTTTACTTTCACAATACCTGTAACAAATACAGGTAGTCCTCAACTGACAACAGTTCATTTAGGGACTCTTCAAATTTACGACGACACTGAAAAGAGTGACTTATGATCGTTTTTCACAGTTATGACCCATGATCATGTAATCAAAATTCAGGTGCTTTCCAACTGGTTCATACTTATGACTGTTGCTATGTCCCAAGGTCTTGTGATCACATTTTGAAAGTCAATGGGGAAGACAGATTCGCTTAACAACCGGGTTATTAACTTATCAACGGCAGCGATTCTCTTAACAACTGTGGCAAGAAAGGTCATAAAATGGGGCAAAACTCACTTAACAAATGTCTCGCTTAACAATAGAAATTTTGGGCTCAATTGTAGTCGTAAGTCGAGGAGTACCTATAACCTTAGAAGATCACCGCGGCTCTAAATGTCACTCTGATGGTATCTTATAAATCCCAGTGCATGAACCAAGACATAGTATTCACAACCTTAGTTCCACAAATCATTTCTCTATGCTGATTTTGTTATATAGTTACTGTCAGTGTAGCACATGTGCAACACCATATACAGTACAAAAGCCAGAGACTTAATTTCTGGCTGATAATCACTTAACTAAATCAACATTCCTTAATCGTGGAAAGTAATTACAATCCTTGATCCTACTCAGGAATCGTGTTCAGCAGGTTAGCTGCACGTATCAGCATAAGGTAGACATATGCTGAGCCAGGTATCGCTATAATGACTATGAAAAACACTAGAAAAAGGTACTCCACAGCCAGAGTGCAAATAGAGCTCCTCTCGTTAAATCTTTCAATCAGCCTTATCTTTTGTAAAGCTCATGCAGCTGCTTTGAATTCTGCTTCCTGATGGCTGCTTCCCGACATACATGTGCACACACAGCCATGTCACAGAAGAAATGCTTTGTTCAACCCTAATACTTACAAGTAACCTTCAAGTTAGGATCATTTATTTGACTGTTCGGCATTATGATGGCGGTGAAGGAAATTGTGCCCAGTTCTCAAAGTTCCAGCCATTGCAGCAGCCCCGCAGTCATGTAAACAAAATTTAGATGCTTAGCAACCTGTTTGCACTAATGACTAGTTGCAGCATCCCGTGGTCACATAATCTTGGGCCTTCCTGCCAGTTTCCCACAGACAAAGTCAATGCGGAAAGCTGGTGGTAAGATACACAAGTCACTTGAATAAACCTTCCCTCTCCTGACCTTTCTTCGCTTGCACGCACCTGTAGCCTCCTTTCTCGGCCTACCTGCTGGACCACATGCATGCATTCATCAGTACCCTTTTTCCCTGGGCCTCCCTATGCTCGCACACTGAACACCCTCCACACCCTACCTCCCTGGTCTCCTTCTGCTCTCACACACACACATGTGCCAGTGGTGGAATTCAAAGATTTTTATTACCAGTTCTGTGGATGTGGCTTGGTAGGCATGGCAAGGGAAGGATATTGTAAAATCTCCATTCCCACCCCATTCCTGGGGGAAGGTTACCACTGGTTCTCCGAACTACTCAAAATTTCCGTTACCGGTTCTCCGAACTACTCAAAATTTCCGTTACCGGTTCTCCGAACTACTCAAAATTTTCGCTAGCAGTTCTCCAAAACTGGTCAGAACCTGCTGAATACCACTTCTGACATGCGCCCTATACCCCTTTTCCTCTGCCTCCTTGTGCTCTTACACATACATATCCTGCACCCTCTTTCCCTGACCTCCCTGCACTCATATACATGCATGAACTCATCCTGCACCCACTCCTCTGCCTCCCTGACCATACGCCACACTGTAGCACCATCACCCCTCCTAATTCATGTGTGGCTTGCACAGGCTTCCTCCACTTCCCTCCAATCTCCTTACCCAGAACTCTCTTTGCTTTCCACTTAATAACCCACATATCTTGGGGTTACCACACCAATTGGGACTGCCTGAATTGCCCTCACTAAGCAATGCATTCCCATGACATCAAGCTTTATGACCACAAAACTTGCCGATGGCAATCCCAATCACCCCCATAACTCAAGGACAACCTGTACACCTCTCAGGAATAATGGAAAACGCAAGCAAGTATTTTAAAAATGGCTATTTTTAATGTATTGGTTATTCCAATCCTTTCTACTGTGTTCGCCGCTACCTATAGTTAACCCTAAAACATGTATCAGGCCGCCTCATCTGCCTGTTGAATTTATTTGATGACCAGGAACAACAGTTACAACTAAAATATTACAGCTTGAAATACAGAGCCACTAAAATGGTTCAAAATTGGTAAAGGAGGGTGTCAACATTAATTAATGTGTTTATTTATTTATCATATTTATATCTTATTACAATTGTACATCGATTCCCAGCAGCACAAAACAATAACAATGATGGTTTTATAACATAAAACTAACAAAATAGATAAACCTA